AACACTGGCGCACCCAGTGCAAGACCTGATGGAAAGGATGTGGCTGGAAAGAAGGAATCCTGGAAAAAAAGGCTGTTGCAATGTGTCCAGGGTTCAGGCTGGGCTAGAGTATGGAGATCACACCTCCTAACACATGTACCTTTGAGGACCACCTAGCAGAACACCCTGTAGCTCCGCCTCTGCAGCATCTCCCCTTCCACTGCTGGAAGGGGTCCTGGGTTGAGACTCGTTTTGCTCCCCTGCCACTGGCACTAAATTGCTTTTTTGTGGGTGGCCTTGTGTACAGCCCACACATGTGCCCCGGACATAATTCTTATGTGGCTGTGGTCGTGTGTGCAGTGCGCGTGTACATGTGTGGATGTGCCTGCCAGGAGGAACAGAAGGAGCCCACAGATGAGTAACAGCACACACTGCTGCCTCTCTGAGTATTTTTAAATGCTAAAAATACTGGCTAAAAATAGCTAGCAAGCTCCAAACAAGATACTTTCTCTAGGCAGATTCCTGCGCTTCCCTATTAGGTGAGGGGGCAGCATCAGAAATAAAACCCCCAAAGACCCCTGGCCTGTAAGCACCACTGCACTTAGTGTTGAAGGAGAGTACCTTTCTCCCCACCTGCCACACTAAAGTCAGATTTGAGGTTCTGAAAGAGATGGAGTTGGGTAATTGGTTAGAAGAGGCCAGAGAAGTTTCTCTCTTAAAGCCAAAAAGGTCAGTGACCTATTGTACCTTATAAAGAAGCACTGCTTCTCTGTTTGTTTGTTTGTTTCTGGTACTGGGATCGAACTCAGGATTTTGCACTTGCAAAGCAGGAATAGTGCCACTGAGCTAAATCCCCAGCCCACACTTCCGCTCTTGATAACGGACCAAACTAGGCCTGGAGGAGGAGGGGAGCTCAGTCCCAAGGCCATGGAAATTTTATCTTCTTAACCTGGGCCCACCGAGTCCCAAGGATTGCATAGATGTTGGGTGTCCAGAGGGCCTGGGACGTGCTGAATGCTGGACACAGATTTGTGCGGAGTGCATTTTCCACCGCCGAAGAGAGTACTGAACTTCCTTCAAGTTCTTAAAATGATCTTCAGCTCCTCAGCCCCCCCACCCCACCCCCAAAAAAGTTGGAATTTGTATGCTGCCCAGGCAGAAGCCCACCCACTTGATACTAGACCTCCAGGCGATTTGTTCTGAGTCCCAGGCTGACCCGGGGCTGCACTGCCCCTCCCAGAAGCCTGCAGCGAGCTGAGAGGGCGCGGACGCCCAGGAGAACCAGCGGGAGGCACCCGCCAGGTTGGCCCTGCGACCTCGCTCTGGTCCGCGTGCTGGAGGCGGGGCGGGCGGGGCTTCGGG